ACAAATAAAAACTTCTTTTCTTTTCAGAGAAGGTAGCTAAGTTAATTCTTCTTGGAGATAGAAGTCAAACATTTTCTTGGTTAAACAAAGCTGTTTTTTCGTAAATATCCGAAAAAACTTTCTATTTGAGGGTCAATCGATAACTCTTTTTGAAAGCTACAGATAAAGCTTTCCCTTATGGATACCCTTCATATATTTGTTGTATAAGAAATACTGAATTATTCACTATGTAGTAGCCAACAAAAACTTTCAGAGAGAATGGCTAGAAGCAAGAGAAAACTTAAGAGGAAAACATTATCACGTTCTCCTTAAACTTATGGCTTGTCTACATCCGTACCCTCAAGTTGTTGCAGCAGATTTTACAAAAGGAGATGCCAATTATGAATCTGACTTATATTTTGAATAATCAAAATGCAAAATTCTTCAACAAGATTTTAGTTATTTACTAAGCACTATGAAAATACTATTTGAGTGTGCGTATTCTCATTGCCCACACTCACATCCTTAATATAGGTTCATATGTAGAACATAAACTTTTTATTTTTTGTGTTTAATCAAAGAATTATATACAGGTATATCTGGACGCATATATATATATATAGAATCAAAAGAAGAAGAAGAAAGCAAAGCAATACGAGAGGATATATCGCATGTCGTAATGGTGGTGTCATCAACAGATCGTAATATCATCAATGTTTTTCGCGTTGTGCATCGAGCAATACATCAATCTTGTCTTTCAGCATATGCCTTTCAGAAAAAAATAGTTAGATGCAACAAGAGAATAAGGCACACTTTCGTACAGCAAAAACTATTTCTCGATGTCGCGTGCTCTAGAAAAAAGGCTATTAAGATATTTGCAAAAATCAACAGTTCATTAAAGACATTGCAAATGACTTAACAAATAACCGGCTGATTTGTCAAACTGTTTTTTTATTCACTCTGATCTATCGAGTTCATATTGTCACCATTCGCCTTATCTAAGAGATTGGAAACTCACTAAATATAATGACACACGTATTATCAATTTTAATATGAGTATTGATGTCTGCTCGAATAAGCCACTAAGTTTTCACATTTCATAGGACTGATTTTTTACCATTTAAAGATAACCTGAAAAACGGTATAGTTATCGTAATTTCTATTTGGCATGCATAGCAAAATCGAAATTTTTCATGAAAATGACTTGTTTTGTAACAATGAACAACCTGTAAAAGTTCTTTTCACGTGTACCATCTCAAGAAATGATTCTTAAAAAAGGAAGGTTAATCTATGAGCATTTTTTAAAGGATCGTTCTAATTTGTTCGGAACGATATGTCTTATATTAGACAGTGTGTTGAAAGGGAAAAATAATAAAAGAAGTTGCATGTTAGAGAAATGCCAATGTTTGTGTCTGTTATTTTACCACTAAAATGTTGACAGGCGATAAAGATAAACAGTTTCGAGTGTATTATTTTGATTCGCCTGACTGTAAATAAATCAACAACAGGATTAGATAACAACACGGTCAAAATATTTACGAGAAAAATGTGGAACTATTGCCGAACTTGAAGAAAAACTGATTGCTAACAAGTGGAGCCACGTGGCTTGTTTGATAATACATCTTGTCTATCATCATTCATTTCAAGCCCTCATTTATATATATATATATATATATATATATACTTGCCCGTCTTCAAATTTTTGACATCTACCAATTGCCTTGTTTTCACATAAATGCTGTACTCGTCGATTTTACTATTACATGTTCTCGTGATAACATTGGGTCTCTATCATTCAATTGTCCCTGTTGGTAAGTCAATCATAGGAATGTACTTTTCGATTAGATTGGAATTTCAATTTTGCTTTCTCAGTCAAAGTCAATCGAGCATTTGATCTTCAAAATAGGCATTTTTTAAAATAATTTCTTTTAAACCCTCCGACAATACACGGCAAATTTATAACAGTCAAAGTTCGTTAGCTCAAAAATGTAGCCCCTCATTGGGTCAGACTGACAATTTTTTGTCGAAAATATTTACACTTTACTGGAATCTTATTTCTACCAATTTCGTTAAATAGGTCTTGTTTTGATCGATGAATAGCATTAAGAAGTCTGCCATTGAAATATTCCTAGCTAAGACAAATCTATAAACAATACATCATTTCAATTGCTCAGGCTAAGTGCTAGGTAGCTTTTTATATTGTTATTGTTTAAATATCTCGAATTTTGAGAAAAAAAGATCTTCACAAAAGTTTATCTTCTCGAGAAGATGTTTGTCAACAAGAGAAACATTGTCTGGTTGATGGAAGAAAAACGCGTCCGAAAGTATGAACTCTTAATGAGTATGACTAGAAAATAAAGCCAACAATAACGTTATTTAGAAAAGTGTTGACATACATCAACAGAGGTCTCATAGTGATATGTGTCGATAAATCTTCTCTCTAGTTTTCTGTGTTAATTAAATCAGTTTATAGAAACAAATATAAAGAGCCAACAACAAGTTTGAACAAAACAAGCACGCCCTCATTATCACTTTAATGTGAATTAAAAGCTATGCAACTGAAATTCATTTAAATGGAATGTTCCTAACTATTCTAGTCATAAATGGGAATTTTCGTAGCAAATTTTATATCAAATAAATTCCAGAAAAATTATCCATTTATAATGAGTTTCATAGAAAAAATTTCCATCGTGTATTTTCCTTCAGAACATTCCCCTCTTTTAGTGTTTCTCAAGAACAGCTTTACAAAAAACTGATGAAACTTTCATGGTAGATAGATCTAGACTAGTAGAGTAAAACTTGTCATGAACTTAGATTTCACAGACGCTTCCTTCCATGAGATATAGGAGCACAGAGATCAACAATAATATGAAGTTTTCTCTCCTGCAATCAGCCAGAGTATATTTTTTATGGCTGAAATTTTTTGCAGCAATTAGAACCAAGTCAAGGAATATATATTGTTTTTTTTCTTTGAAAAGAATTGTTTCTTTCTCTTATGATAGCTGAAATATTGGAAGCCCTGCCAAAAAAAATGTTTTTTTCCCAGAGCAAATGTTAGAAGATTTGCAAAAGAAACACCAGAACAGTATTTTAAGAAAAACATATATACATCCTGATTTGATCCTAGTTGCCAGACAAAAAATTTCAGCTCAATCAGCCGAAATGTCTTGTAGAAAAAGGGGTAAAACTTCTATTTTTCTCTAAAAAGTTGATTTTGAGAAAGACGTGCGACAACGGAAAACATCATTTTTTTCATATTTCTTGTTTTTCATTTATGGCCCACAGAGCACATTGTCATGTCGAAATAGCTATATATTAATAAAGACCATCGGCAGTACAATAAAGCTGTAGAACATGATTTTTTTCTATAGGGGCTCTCCAAAGTGGGTTTTTCTAAGAATCAAAATCAACATGAAACATTTTGTTCATATGTCATTCGACAGACGACAGTTGAATGTGTTTTTAGATACGAAAAAAATCAAAACCTAAAAAGAGTGAATTTTTGGAGTCGAGAAAAGGGAGCTGTCTTTCAAGCTACCTGCAACAAAAATACATGAACTACCTGAAATAAGACTCTTTCTACGATCTGATTTTCTGACATTCGAAGATTCAAAAACGAAAAATATGTTTTTGTGAATCAAACTTGACACGACTCTAGGAAAACAGTAAAATCTGTAGATACCAGAAACTTTATTTCTATTTTGGTCGATTTTTCCAGATTTTACCTCATGAAATCGAGTGCTGGTTGGAATTGATGACGAGTAACTCTTTTCCTTTTCGCGTTGGTTTTTTTTCTACAATAAATATTCTTTTCATAATAATGAACTTTATGATTCTAGCACTAGCCAACCGTATTCGATGGCAAGGAAATTGGGCTTTTAGCTGCGACTTTCCTGGCAATGATATCAATGATGTTCACGCCTCTGGTGAAGAATGTGGTGGAGAATGTTCAAGAACACCAGAATGTACTCATTTCTCTTGGACTTCATGGCAAGGTGGTACTTGTCGGCTTAAAAAGGGACTGATTTCCAAGAGTCAAGCGATTCAAGCTGTTGATAAGACTCAGATCTGTGGAATAATAATCGATTCAGGACCGAGTGATCCTCCATTAACACCAATTCCAGGTTAGACTGGATAAAAGGAGAAAAGTAGTGGTAAAATCGATACATTTGCATGCAGACAAACTAATCCACTTGATGTTGATTATCTCACGTTCATTCAAACTAGACACCAATACCTAGTCAGACAGGACCTCACAAGAAACGCATTTAAATTTCGTACTAACAGTGTTTTAACATGCGTTTATCATTAAAACTATGATTATTAGAATTTTTAACACGTATAAAAGCATTCAGGATGGATGAACCTGTTAAAACCACAGGAAAAAGAGTTGAAACCAGATTTTTTTCTGATTAGAGTGGTTAAAGTGTGCTGATAATTAAAAAATCAAGATAAGCACTTTTTTTGGCATTCCGCCAATTTTAAATCGCAAACATCAAGTCAATAGAAAAGTTAGTGGAATCAAAAACGTCAAAAGCATCATTTTTTGTCATTGTTATGATAAAAATGTCTTCTTTTAACAACTTACTTCTATCAACAGGCTTGAATTATAAGAAAATACTTAAAACCAAGGCACTGAACAAAACTATGCCTTTTCGAATAAGTGGTTTGTTTGATTAAATTGAGCTTTTAATCAAATTAATTTTTCAAATTTAAAATTGACTAAAAAATTTTAGAAGATCTGCTGGTTCCTACTCAGACACAACGCATGAATTATTTTCCCAATTCACGTGTTTTCGCTAGTTAGTCATTTTGGTAGTTTCTACCAATGTAGTCCGAGTTCATATTAACACAAGAGCTTAAACCCAAAAATTTTAAATGACAAGATGCATTTGTTTTTTGAATTAAAATTTAATTTCTTATTTCTTTATTTTTAGCAAGATTTAATGCGTCTTAATAGCTATGTTACATTTTAGAATGTGAAAGACAGAGTTTTTATTTATTAAAGGTACACTCCATCTACACTGACAAATGCACATAACTAAGTATTTTACACATAATTATTCTTTTATATTTAATTGGAGTCCCTGTGACAAACTAGAGAAAACATAGCAAGTCTTACTGCAGATATCTCAAGTATGTTATTGAGTGTGGGTGTGACTGGATAATCGAAAGAACTTCGTTTTGACCGGCTCATTCGAAGAGAGTTCGAGCTAGAAGATGCAAGTGTCACGATCAAGATTTGCGTTTAAAACTAGGATCAAACATGCATTGAGCATTATGAATGCATGGCTGAAAGAAAAAAGCTATAAAGTATTGAGGTAATGAAAACTTCTACGCAATTTTCTCAAAAGACGGGGTAGCCCAAAAGTCACTTTACTGAAAAAAATTGAATATCTGCATTATGTCTCGAACAAAAGAACTCATTTTTTTATCGATAATAGAGGCATGTTCAAGCTTTATATCCATAAAGATATGGCTAGAGAAATCCTCTGTTAATTATCAATATTGATTTCAACAAAAAAAAAATTCTTTTTTCACAGGTAGGAAGAAAGCAAAATACTTAACAAAGAGTCTCTCTTGGCATATCTTTATGGATATAAAGCTTGAACATATCTCTACCATTATTTAAAAAAACCAGCTCGTTTACCCGAGTCGTAATGTAGATGTTCAATTTTTTTCGATACAGTGACTTTTGAGCCACCCTGTATTTTCTCGCTTAAAAGATTTTGTTGTTATTTAATTACTTCAATCGTATTCATAGTATATCATATGTATTGATTCATCTAGGTCCACCGGTAAGTAGAAGAAAACCAGTCGATTAGATGAAGAATTCTATTCAAGCTAATTTTTAAGTTTTATTTTAGGGGTCACGCGGACAAAAAGGTGATCGAGGTGAGTTGCAAAAAGATAATGTGCACGAAAGAGCCTACGTTAGTCATTTTCTTCATTCATCCTATAATCAAAAAGATATAGATGAGTAGAAGAATAAGGTTTTCAGAGGGCACAAATCTACTGGATTAGTTGGCACAAAATGTCTATATGATTCTTTTTTCTATTTTAGGTGCTCGGGGACCACCGGGTAACAAAGGAGAACCGGTTCGTGTGGATATCTTCTTCTTTGATTGAACCCATAGAATTTTCTTTTCTCAGGGAACAATGGGTCTGACAACACATTCTTCTTGGTAATCGGTTTTCAAATTACAAAATCTTTAATCGATTGAATTTTTCTCTAGCCTTTCGCCAACAGAATTTAATAAATATATGACTTCATTTAAAAATGAAGCTCAAGTATTGAAACAACATGCCATAATGATCGAACAACAAGTGAAAGTAGTAAACGTTTTCCGATCGAGTATCCAAAATCTTACCAAAATATTAGACAGCAGAGGTGACAAGTGTAAATGCTCTGATGATATTATCGAATGCTATCGATTGTATCGAATTTTCGTTTTTATATAGCGTTTCCCGAAGTCAATACGTCGCAAACACCAATAATAAACAATCCAATGAATCCCACATTCGAATTTTGGCCGCCAACTGAAGTCTGGTGTCCCTGGCGAACCGATAGTTGTACGCAGATGATTTCTCGACCTGGTCAAATGACCATCGTCATGGATCAAGCAGTACAACTGGCATTTGAACTTCATTTGTCGATTAGTAATGATCCAACAAATACTAGTTATGCTATTCGTCTCGCAGTTACTACGCAACAAGTACAGATTAGCAAAATAGTCGATGGTCTAACGATAGGTATAAATCAAACGACTGAACACGATTATGCTTTACATGAAGAAAAAAGTAAGTAGAATATTATCTAGAATAAAGACAAAACAAACCATTGATATAATCATCTTGGTTTTAGGTGTGTATTGGTTGAGCCTCGATTATATGGCTTTATCAGTTAAATATGGTCAAGGTGAAGTAAGAGATAGGTGTACGCTGCTTCAAAGTTCTCTATCAAAAGTGGAAAGAAATACTGTCCGACAAATTCAGTTCGTGCACGTTTCATTCAAAGGTAGTCGTGTGCTGGCAGACTATAAAAAGTATGAGTACAAGGTGAAATTGAAAATCGGTCAACATCCTGTTGTTCTAGACCCACCATTGTTAGTGGTAGAACCGGACAAAGCAGGTCTTGATGTATTTCTTAATAACTCGGCTATTCTTTTGACCCGTTTGAAAGAACCGTGTCGATTATTATACTATGATATTCTTGGTTGGAAATTTCAAGACGATGCTTTTCCTTATTTTTTTGAAGCTATCGAGCAAAGTATTCGGAATGAATCAGGTTGGTGTTACAAAAAACTAAAAGAAAAATTAACAAGATTCAATATATCGAATCCACGTGCTATTTATCTAAGAATTACTGTTGGCATGAATCGAGGTACTCCAACCGGCGTTCCCTATGTTCTGGAAATTTGGCCACCAGGTCACTACAGTCCCATTCATACTCATAATGATACTTATGGAATTATTCGAGTTCTATATGGTGAAATTAACGTGAAACTCTATCGAACATTAAGTTCAGAACGAAAAAATCCATTTCATGAAATGACCCTCTACAAAGATCAAGCTACTTGGCTTTCGCCCGGTTTGAATCAAATTCACAAACTAGAGAATCAATCACCAAATCAAACATGTATCACCATTCAAGCGTATGAGTATCGAAACGTCGAAGTTCATCATTATGAACATCTCGATTATGTTAACGATGATGGACAAATTATTGACAACTTTGAACCCGTATCCGATATGGATTATTTAGAATTTCGAAAGAAAATGATTAATGAATGGAATAATGGCTTGTAACTTTTTAACGATGACTATTGTTGCAGTTCAACGAAAACAGATGAATAATAAGCTAATCAATGATACTCGATACGTTAATTAACATGAGTTTTTGCTTATACAACACCTCGTAATTCCTGCTAAACTTTCCCTACTTTTTTCACCTATCTAAAGATATTTTTTCTCATCAAACCTTTATCTGATCAATATGGAGAAGAAAGAAAAAAGTAGAAGAACAAGTTTTTGATCTTATTAATTGATTGAGTCACACTGTCTCGATGTTTTGTTCAGGAGAAGGATCTTTCCGATTCAGTCTTTTTTTCAGCTTTTTCTCGTCAAATACATAGTTATCATGCTTGAATACTAAGCGAACATAGAAAAATATCTGTTCTGACATGTGCTCGACAGATATGATTTCTTACGTCTCGAATTCAATCAATTATATATGTACAATGGTTAAGGCTGGGCGAGGAGATACTCAATAGAAATTGACACTATTAAGCGCTGTCTTTCTTGACAGAGACAAGTCTTCGATTGTTCGTGTCAATCAGTTAAAGTTTCCGGTCATAATTATCTGTGAAACAGCTTGTCTCATTGATAATGAAAAAACAAACGCCATGCGGGATATTTCTCTATCTTGATTCTTATTATTGATGCTAACGACGAGAAGACCGACTGGCAATTATGTTTTCTTATATATAGGCTTATGTCTGAGAAATATTTGCCATTTATAAAACGACTCATGCTCCTATAAACTTGTTGCAGATCACAAACAAACGAATTCAACTTCCATCTAAATGATCACACGTGTGCCATCTTGTGCATTACTATTAACGATTGTTTTACTCATCAACGGTAAACAGATTTGAGGTCGACTGATTTCATTGAAAATCAAATGATGAAGTGAACATAAGGGAGAAAGATTAAACTCTTTTCATGAGAACTGAATGTTGGAAGAAGATTTTAGTTGACATGCTGTTCGAAATTTAATGCTCTAGTTAATATTCCTAGATTCTTCTCAATCCCAAGAGAAGACATGGATTGCCAAAGCTGATTTACATAATGATTCGAGTCCTCTCTCAGTTGGTACATTAACATTTACGCAAGCAAATGTGGTTGGATCACCAGTTCGTGTTACTGGTACTTTAACAAATTTAGAGCCCAACACCCGATATCATGGATTTCATGTACACATGTTTGCCTTACCCGATGACATATGGGATTGTTCTCAAGCTGGAGCTCATTGGAATCCTTATGGTATGGATAGATCTAGTTCTTCTTACTTTTTTCTACTTGAGTATTTTGTTAGAGACAACTCATGGCGGTCGAAACGATCCGACTGAACGAAGACATGTTGGAGATCTTGGGAATATTTGGTATTTATTCTATATAGTATCCTCAGGTTCATTGTCATATTGATCTTTTCGAGGTCTGATGCATCTGGTACTGTCACCATTGATATCGAAGACTCTATCATTCAATTACATAATAAAACAAAAAGTTCTATTTTAAACAAATCAATTGTGGTTCACAAAGATGAAGACGATCTTGGTCGTGGTACCTATAGTGACAGTCATACGACAGGGTAATATATGAGAATTATTCCTTGCTTGACAAAACCACTCATTTTTTATTCTTTTAGCCACGCAGGTGCGCGTCTCGCTTGCGGTAATATTAAACTGGTAGATGAAGGTATGTTCATTTTATCATGAAAATTCATATTTCAGAATTACATAAAGATACCTGCTGAATTTTGTTTTGATGCTGTCGAAATTCACTCGAGATCTTTCTCAAGAAAAAGACTGGTAATAAGAAATGAATCGTCTGTTAGTTGCTGACAAGCAGACAGAAAATGGATATGTATACATTGCTTTTATCTCGGTATGATCTGCACTGACATGTTGATCTCGTTGTTACTCTTGGCTGTCACACAGCAACGGAAAGAAAATTACTTCTTTCGTTGTAAAATGAATGCCAAGAAGCAATTATCTAATTGATCAACCAGACACTACTGTTGGCAAACAATTTCTGATCTTGAATAACAAACCACACAGTTTTTCTAGGACGTCATTCATTCGAGACATCCAGGTAAAGCAGGAGGGAGAGGATGAAGGGAATCTGTCAAAGTTGGACGAACCTGGATAGAGAAGGTGCATCGAACATTTCTGAATGTTCAGACACTTACTAAGAATATTTTTCTTTTTCCACAGAAGTTTTTGAGAAATTTTGAAGCTGAGCTTATTTTGATGACCATTTTTGAACATAAAATGAACTGAAATAATTGAAGATTATGCTACATGAACAGACAGTTACTTTGTGAAGCAATAATCTTAACTTCGTTATATTTTCGTGTCCCATTAGTGTTGAATTTCAGTATTTGTTGTTGTTTTTTATATTTTTACTAGTTTTTGCTCATTAAAACACGATACATTTATAAAACGAAAACCTTGTAATAGATTAGATTTGTGCCTGCTGTTTATGAAATAGGTGTTTTTATCTTTTTTCTTGATACGCATATATTCATTTCTATTTTCCATATAATTATTTAAGAAACTTGTATTGGATAAAAAAAGAAGCAGTATACTTGAACAAAAAGAGTTTTTCTGAAGGTTTTTTTATATTGGAGATTCCGTAAGAAGAGGTCAATGAATCTGAACAAAGTTGAACAGAGGGAGAGCAGTATAAAAATGCGATTTTTACCTGGGTGTCGTTAATGAATGATTCCTAACAATAATGAGACATATATTTATTTATATAATGGATGTCTCATATTGACTAACGATACATTTTCTATGACTTTTTTCATATTCGTTGCTGACACCATTGACTTTGGTTATTGTGTAATCGGTTGTTGTGGATGGACAAAAAGTTGATAAATAGTATATAGCTGTTGAATCTTTAGATGAACTGGAAATTGTTGTGAATATAACTTGAACTGAGACTAGTTGTAGTAGATCATATTATTTGTTCTAGAGTATTGTATTTGTTGCTGTGATATTGTATCAGATGTCAATATGACATCAGTTAACATATCATATGTTCTTTCACACTTATTATCATCAAACGTATTATCTTCATGACCAACCTGCTTTGCAAAGACCTAGTTTTTGCAGATTTCAGCGAACAGTGTTACCACATACTACTAGTGACGAGCAGCATTAGTTATAGAAAAGAGAAGGAGACTACGAGTAACGCCGCCGCTTTGATGCGTCTAACAGCTACCGTATCAAAAAGAGAAAAAGAGAACGAATGAGACTTATTCTATTCGATGTATTAATTACAATCGATCACAGTCATGCTCATCCACAGTAGGCATAAAAGATCTTGACCAGAGCTATAAACAAAAAGTTTCAGTTATTGTACAAAAAGATGTGTAATAGTACTGAGTTTGTTTACTCTTTTTTTCTTCACAGCTTCAACTATTAGTCCAGTGACACGTGTTCTCTGGCCGTTCGATTTGAATACCAACGATTTGAATAATATTTACAAGAGTGATCCGGTGAATAGTCCATCATATGTACCATCACCGGTGAGCCAAACAGCTATTCATCTTCGATCATCGCTACAACAATCGGTGACAATCATTCAACCATTCTTGAATTTTGCTCGTATTTCATTTACGGTGAAATGTTGGATCTATCCGACATCGTTATCTGTCTATGACAATACCATTCTCTCGCAATGTCAAAATCAACCAACACGAATTTGTCTACAATTGGGTCTACGAAATGCGACCCTCTTTATGGGATTATTTGAAGACTATTTAAAAGGCAAAACAGTACTGAAAGCAAACAATTGGTATCATGTAGCATATGTTTTCGATGCAGCATCACTTCAACAAGCAGTTTATCTGAATGGTAAACAAGATGCCATGAGAAAAGCATCGAATAGTTATCAAGGTACAGAAGGTATTCTGACTATTGGAACATCGAAAAGTAGTCGAATACATCAAACTTATTTCGACGGTTACATCGATCAACTTTCGTTTGTATCACTAGTTAAAAGTGTCGATGAAATCTGGCGTGATGCCACTACTATTAAGTCAATAATAAGTGAAGGTAATCTATCTTTTAGAAAAAAAATGGTGACACTTGTTTGAATATGATTTTAGAACCGATTAAGAATCCGAACTTTATCTTTGAACCGTAATATTTCTCTTCGAAATATATATCTGATTTTTCAATGACTGGAAATTGTGTTTTGTTTAGTATTCCATCAGTAAATTGTGATGCTCAAATGGCAATTATTCAACAACAAGCAAAAACAATCGAACAACAAATTTTGACGACAAATAACCTCTGGCAATCAAGTATGGAAACTGTATCATCTATATGGGAACAACAGCATCAAGGTATGCAAACAAGCAGATGAATAAGCTGATTTAATTTGAACTTTTGAAAACTATCTTAGTAGTTTAGAGATATTGTCTCTTTTTAATAATATTACAGGAGAAATCAAGATTTTTTATCTCACTTTGTAGGAATTTACGATGTCAGTCCTCCATCTGGTATTCACATTTGGAAACGGACTGAAACTTCAATATATGATTTTAGGCCTCCGAATAAACTTTGGTGCCCTTGGCGAGCAGACTGTACGCAAGTTCTAGATCAAAATGGCCAAATGACCATTGAAATGGATCAGATGGAGCCTCTACCATTTGAGTTACGTGCATCAATCAGCAATAATCCAACCAATGACACTTATGTAGTTCATCTTTATCTCGATCATCATCGAGCACAGATCAGTAAAACAGTCAATGGACAAAAAATGATTATTAATCAGACGAACGACTATGATTGTGTTTTATATAATGAAAAAGGTAAGTTACAAGAGATTATATGAAGTATGATTTGGAAGTTTTCTATTTTTCAGTTCGCGGCAATTATTGGTTGAGTATCGATTATTCGAATTTGTTTGTCAAATATGGTCAAGGTGAAGTACGAGATCGATGTACAGTGCTTAGAAGTGATATTCCAAGCAATGAAAGCAATCATGTACGACAAATTCAATTTGTTCATATCTCACTTAACAACAGTCGTGACATAGCTAAATTGAAACAGTTTGAATACAAAGTTAAATTAAAATTGGGTCGAAATCCAGTGGTCTACGATCCGCCATTGATTGTCGTTTCGCCGAAGAATTATGATTTGAATGACTATCGAGACAAGGCAACGATACCAGTGACAAGACTAGATCCACCTTGTCAAGCTCTGTATCATGATGTGATTCATTGGCGATTTCAAGATGACGAATTTCCGCATCTTTTTGAGGCGATTGAGCAAAGTGTTCGAAATGAGTCAGGCTGGTGTCGTAAAAGATTAATCGAAAAAGCCAATCGATTCGGGAAGTCGAATATTTTAGCTACTTATTTAAGAATCACCGTTGGACTTAATCGAGGCACGTCACCTGGTGTTCCTTTCGTCGTGGAAATTTGGCCACCTGGTCACTACAGCCCGATTCATGCGCACGCCAATACTTATGGCATTATCCGAGTATTGAACGGTGCGATTAATGTGAAACTTTATCAAACATTGTATGTGAAACGACAGAAACCTTTCTACCAAATTAACATTGCCACAGGTCAAGTTACTTGGCTTTCCCCTGGTTTAAATCAAATTCATAAATTAGAGAACATAACACCCAATCAAACATGTATTACTATTCAAGCTTACGAATATAGAAGTGATGAAGTGAGTAACTATGAATTTTTTGACTATATTAACAATGATGGGAACGAGATCCGTCGATTTGATCCCGTATCTGATATAGATTATTTTCAATTCAAAAAGATCATGATGGACGAATGGAATAACAAACTTTGAAACGAATAAAAATACATTGATCGTACCCATGTTTTACATATTATATTTTCAATTGCATTGATTTTTTTATCCTGAAAGCCCTTATTGGATTTCGATGGTAACCATAAAAAGAATAAATTTTAATGCTTGATATCAGAAAGAAAAATAAGGAATTCCTAAACATTTTCAATCTTAGTATAGTAATAGGTTTTTTTGATTGAAATTTTATGCGAAAAACTCAACGCATTAATGAATACGGGAAGTGCAACAAGGTGGGTATAAGATGCAAAATGAGACTTATACTGTCATCAGACAGAACCCAACAATTTGCTCTGATTCATATGACAATATGTCAAAATAAATACTAGAAATTAAATATTACTTCTTTTGTTGACAGTGTGGATGTAAGTGTATATGCTGCATTTTGATTCTATCGATATTCTTTACAAACCCACATTCAGCCTTACACTTAGCTTCACCATTAGCCACTCTTTGACCTTCAACATCGAGAGATTGTGTCCCATTCTGATCGTTCTCAATCGCTTGATATATCATGACTGATGTCGATAATATTCAGAAGTTTCTAACTCTGGCGGTAGCACAAATTATGAAGATTACATCAGGTACAGCATGACACATGAGTTCATAGAAGATGCCAAAGCAATTCGAGTTCTTCGTGTTAGGTGTGAGTAGGCAGACTCAGTTTTCCATACTTCGATCTTATTCACACATTCACTTTTAGTCTTAGACTCAGCTTCACCGTCAGTGATGCACCAACACCTACATCCCACATGTGGTACAAAAATTTATTGAAAGATGCAACATCAAATTAAAAACTGTGATATACGAGAAAAAGAAAGCTTATCTTTTTCATTTCGTAGTATTTTTTTCTCGTCTTATGAATACTAATAGATTTTTTCTATGAATCTCCAACTCAAACATGAACGACAGATTAAAAAAAACACAAAAACTCTGGTCGTAGAAAAACGCTACGATTGCCTCAAGCGTCGACAGTCAAAAAACTCTCTTTCATGCCGCCTGCGATTAACTTGGTTTGATATTTAGTAAAAGAAAGTTTGCTTTTCATTATAGGCTTTCTATCACTACATTTGGTGCGAAATGAAAGCAAAAGCCGTGACTTACCAACCTAAATTGATAGGGACAGTATCATCCTTGTATTTGGGCTTCCTGGTATTGAAAATATGGATTGTACATAGGTTCTTCGACATCTAGGTTGTAACTGAGCTCTTGGAATATCTGTTTGCTGTTTAGCAAGCTGAGCAATGAAGGACCCATATTTTGGTAAATGCTCCATCGCATAATTTTTCACCTGTTTCAATTGAATCGACCCTAAAGTAATCTCATTGAGCGGCTCATGATTCAAAGTTTGAAAATCAGGAACAGCATCAGTAGCATCGATTCATGCCCATTTACAATTGTTCTATTTCGTATTTTTTAACCTATTAGCATATTCTTGATATTGTTGCTTTCACTGACGAAACCTAAGATAACATCAGCGAGCTTGTTGTCGTCTGAAAAATCTTGTACAAAAAGTGGTCGAAGGCATTGATTATTGCAAAATACCAGGAAATCCAGATTTTGAGCGCGAAAGCATACAAAGTCTTTTTTATTTAGTATATACAAGGTGGGCCAAAATTTACCGACCAGTCTTAAATTGCGAATAACTTTTGGTAGGAACAGGATCTAGACCTGCGATTTTCACCATTCGAAAGAGTGATTCTCGAACCATCGATCTACATAATATTCACTACGACGAAAGATGCTGTTTCATAGGAGCTTTTTAATTGACATTCTGTTTTTTTGTGTATTTTCATAAATTTTCACAAAAATCTCGTCTAAAATTGCGCCAAAATGTATCTCAAATCACCCATTTTTTGCTATAAAATTGTCACTTTATGCATTATTCCGTCGACCTCTTTTCTCAAGTGAGCCTTCGAAAAATAGTGATACTTGTATAGCAAAAAATCGGTGATTTGAGGCACATTTTGGCGTAATTTGAGACGAGACTATTATGAAAATTTATCAAAATACACAAAAACACAGAATGTCAATTAAAAAGCTCCTATGAAACAGCATCTTTCGTCGTAGTGAATATTATATAGATCGATGGCTCGAGCATCACTCTTTAGAATGATGAAAAACCCCAGGTCTACATCTTGTTCCTATCAAAAGTTATTTGCAATTTAAGACTGGCTAGTAACTTTTGGACCACTCTGTATAGCTGCTTCCCAAGCAGAAAGAAAATAAAACACGCGTGAAGATGCTATAGGAATTTCGAGCGTTTCCGGATAATAATCTTGGTTCCTGATTTTCAACCAAAGACATTCAAAAAATTCAGCATGAAAACGATCACCTTCTACTCAGGGGAAATTTTGCGAAACACATTCATAATTATCTGATTTTGACCTTTGAAAGGCTCAAATTTTGAATATAGATAATGGTAAAAATATTTGTATGAAAAAATGATCAAAACATTTATTTTTCAAGTAATAACACGGTTAGCAAATATCGCTCCAATTATCAGAGGAAAAATACTGTCAGAAAGACAGGTAAAGTTGAGACTTTCGTGTAATTGACATCCACGAGATAGTATGAGCATGAAACTGCTCGTAAAACCAAATTTTTAAGCGTTTACACAGCTATATATATATACTCAATAAAAGAAACTTCATACGCTTTCATGCTCAAGTCTCGGGTTTCTTGATGTGAGCATGGCCAAGTTTCTTCGTACGTGACTAAATGCTTAGAAAAGAATACTTTTGAGCGTTTATACACGTTTTCACAAAATCTTGTCATCTTGGAGGATTCACGCAAACACTAGAGGAGCGTCAAGCCAAAATAATCTTCGAAAAATCACCTCAATTTGCTGTGTTTCATATTCAACGACAATATCGAATCACGGTTTTCAAGCTTTGCTTCGCTTGCATTACTTTTTTTGAGAAATACGACGCCAGCAATTACCAAATATTTTTCAGGTATTTCTAAGAAATTCCAAGTAATTATATCTTTTCTCGCAGGTACATATGAAGATTCAGCATTTCTGATAAAGTAAATAGCGTGCCAGAAATATCTAAAGATGGTTGGAAGTCTTTTTCGCATGATTCTGTTGTACTTCATATCACGAGGAATCGAGACGTTAGTTTGCTTATTGTGCTCATAAATACAACTTAATTCTTATTTAATGAAAGAAGAATATGTAAAGGCACATCTCTGGATTTGACTTATTCCGTGAAGTATGACAAATTATAGCAAAGATATTTGATAAAGATCGTAACAAACTTCGATATCAGAACATTTTTTTAAAGTTCCTTAACAGAATCACAATGCTCAGATTTTGTTATATTTCATGCAAATATAAAGGAACTTTTCGTAATCATTTATATCGCATACAGTTTAATCACAATCATTCGAGGAAAAACTGCAACTGATTGTGTTTTAATATATAGTTCACAGAAATGTTTTGTTTAGAGACCGATAAAACATAATGAAAAATCTTAAGAAATGTTTTGAGAAGTCTTGAAATTCTTATAGAAGAAAACTTTGATTGGTAGCATGGCAAAACGTTTTGAATTTGGTCTTGGACAGAGTTGAAAAACTCTCATCGAGAAAACGCATCGATTCTATTTAAGTACTGCCATTGTCTCGCGTAAACATTCAGCATACTTTCATTTACCATAAACTGTTTCCATCTGCGACAAGGCCCGAAGTTTCTCAAACGAGAACGAAAACTCTTTGAATCTTATCACATATACTCAACAGTATTCAATCTTTGAACGTTTGCACCGATTCTTCGATCATCTGTGGTTCTCAATGGAAAATAGTACGGCAACAGTAACTCTATAATTAGCTGGTTTTCATATTCGCGCCAGCTATACAGTTCGACTTTTATTGTAAACAGATTTGAAGCAACCCTTCACTTTTCACTTCGACCATTCATTTCGAACTATAAATTTGATTTGATTGTCGTTTAGACATGTGTGACGTATGAAATTCAATCAAGTTAGAAGAGGCATGAATATGGTTTATTGAGATAGGATAAATTGAAATCAATATTAAGAGAATTTGTTTCTGAATTGTTTATATATATTTCGGAGTTGAGTCTAAAATATTGATGAGACAAGAGATTGCCTTTGAAAAGTTGCTGAACTTTAGAGACAACTCCGACATATATATATATAAAGGAAAAGAAGCATGTGTTATGAAGAACTTTTTTCACTGTTAATGGATGGCGACTTGATTTCCATGTTTGACAGTTTCACGCGCATTCGTCGCTCCTTGATCCATGTTGGTTAACGTATACCCTGGTCCCACACGATTGGTTGGATCTAGACCTTCCAATGCACCGAGCTTAACAAAACTCCATTGAAATTGTGTCGATGTACCGGCATAAATGATTGGAATCCAAACCACCGACGTTTTGGCAAAACAAGCACAAAGAAATGCAATCGCTGGTGGTGTTCCGTAGCCTTTGCCACGAAATGCCGCTAAGAAAAATGCAATTGTATACGGTGTCCAAGTGATGAGGAAGCCGAGTGTTGTCATAATAACACCTAGTTGAAAGTTAAAACAGTAAAATCTTTTTACTTTATTCAACTTTGTCATGTTTAAAGAAAAAATATTGGGTTCAAGCATCTGCTAGATAACTCATATTTCAAACACTAATCGTAGCATAAAAGTCAAGAATATTTTACTCGTCATAATTGCAAATCTACTGGAATAATTTTCTAATGAATGGTCTACCCTTTTTTTGTTATTTTTCAATGGTTGAGTCCAAGTATATCCCGTTGAATGTAAACTGCTTCGGGCTTCTTTGAAAATATGTATGTCAGTGTAGTAAGTATATTCTAGAAAACTTTTACTCTATCAACTCTATATAACAATTCGATTTACTTATGTGGACAATGCTTACTTTTGACAATGCGTCGTTCCATTTCGATTCGTTTCACACTGAGTGCTGCTTGAATGCCACGTTCAATTTTTTCATGCATTCGTTTTAATCCTATCATTGTTATTGTATTTGTCGTGGTAAGAATGAGCAATGGAATGCAATAAATGAAGATGAATATTGAAAGTGTATATGAGACGTATAACGGACGTTGATCTTGCCAGTTAATACAACATGAAATACGAGCTCGCTACAAAAGAATTCAAATTTTCTATTTAGTTAGTTTCGCAATAATGTAACTATAGTATATTGATATGCAAATACTTTTCAGCAAAATGTTTTTTGCTACATCCTTATTTGCTAGTGTAGCTCGCAGCAGCTCTTATTTTCTTATTGTCTTGAATGCTGAACTTCTAATTTGCGAAAAAAGACATATATGTCACTCCTGTTGAGATAAGACATTGATGAATCAGCGTCAATAATCTTTATTTTGTACTTGTCAAAGCTATTTCTCTCAAAAAAATATTGAAAAAATCCTCAACTCAACAAATATCAGACTAAATGTGCATTTTGGTATTGAAATCTTCTGTCATAAATCTTGCCAAGCATCGAGTACTTTTCACAATGGTTGATAATTAGATGAATTGCATCGCTTCAGGTAGCATTAGAGAAAATATTGGAAACAAACCTCTATCGTATATTCATTCCATCCCATCAGGGGCAACATTGTCCAGATGAAAGCAATAAAAATGAGCACACATGAGATTATTACACATTTCTTGACCTAAAATGTCATGTAATTTCTCTTTTATCTCTTGAATGACCAATATACTCACAGTGACTCTATTTGCATCGAATGGACGTACGATAATATAGCATCGACTAACACTCACTGCGCAGAGTAGATAGCAGCTAGCAGTTCCATGTAAAAATGCAATGACAGCGTCCAGTTCACAGCCTACCCGTTGAAAAATCCATTGACAATAGATGGACGATGTACCTGTCAATGGTAAAATGGTACATGACGCAACAAGACCCATAGCCGCGATAAACATGAGAAATATATTTGACGGCGAACGAAGAGCCTTGTAGCGAATGAAGCTGACCACAAGCGCTCCATTGACAGTAATACCGACAAGAGCGCCAGCACATAGTAATATTCCAACGGTTCGAACTGCATTACAATTCACCGGTGTTGGACGACTCCAGAATAGAGGATCATCTCGTGAAAGATTCTCATCATCGACTAAAGTGTTGTTGAACGACATGACAAGCTGACTTATGTTTAGATTTTCAAAAAAAGAAGCTTCTAAAATTATTACAAATTTCTACACAGCCTAGAGACTAATCCGATGATAAAATAGAAAATAGAAAGAGCTGTTAAGCGATGAAATCGAACTGTTTTCAAAAGTGAGTTTCTTATTTTCTCGATGCTCTATCCAGATATCAAAAGTCGATTCTCTTTCGAATTAGACAAGTAGATTGTATTTCGGTCTGCGCGCAGTCGACTAAATATTCGATCTTATCTATCCTTTCTAGCTTGATGTTTTTTCTATGAAGAGTTTTTTTCTAGTCTTCGATTCTGTTAATTTGAATTACAAATCACGTGGAAATGTTTTCTTTCCTCTCTCATCCGAGTATGGAATTGTTGAATCTCACAGAGAATATATGAGCATTCGCTACGATTGAATAAACGTGCTATTCGGCTAACTAGCTAGGATCTAACTTTAAAAAAGGCTCATAATTTTTCAAACTAGATTCGAAATTCATATTCTAAAGTCTTAAAAGCCACATATCAGCCATAGGAATTCGTGATTTCCTAACACAAATTATTCCTCACATAAAAAAAACAAGCTTGAAAATTAAAGACAACTGACAGCTCTGTTCGATTCCTTCAATACTTAAACGTCTAATCAACTTTTACAGCAAGTCATAACATCATAAAAGCCAACATTTCATCTCATTTCTTGCTCAGAAGAGAAGTTTCATACTTACTCTTCTAGAAGCGAGATCTCTAGAAGATGATAGAATCCTTTCAAAAACCTTCATCACGGAAAAATATACTGCACTATCAATCGATTATAAACAAAACCAACTAACAAAAATTTGTATGCTCAGTTTACGCAACAAAAAGATTATAAGGAAAACTTTTACATCTGCAATTGTCCAAAATCACATTCAGGGGGCACCAGTGAATGAATTTCATTACGTCAAATAGCAAACAAAGTATTTCAAACATTTCCACACGAAACTTATCATGACGAACTCCATTTTTCTGAAAATCCTGTATTCAAAAAAAAGCAACACAGAAGTCATTTCATTCGAACTTTCGAAATAACTGACGAGAATAAAACAAATACTGGAGTTTTCTTGTTTAAAAAGAAAATTAGTAATACTACTCTAATCCTCATAAAAAAATTTCTTAATCAAGTTCTATTTCCAAAAAACTCAAAACACTGTGCCCGACTATCAATATAATCATGACAAAACAAATGTCTCTGCACTGTCGAAGACGAAAGTGACAGAAAATACCCAGGCAAAAAGAGATAATCTACAGCTAGAAAAAGAAGGCTGAGCAGAAGCTTTCGAACCATCTACACTGCATTAGATTTTTTAGTTAACAGAAATAATTAGCAAAAGCATAAAAAGTACAGCTACACAATGGCTTGTTCTTCACGTGAGCAACTTGTAGAAGCAAAGATTTATTAAATTTTCCTACTCCCTTTCAATTCTAAACTTGCAGAAACATTTTCTACACAGACTATGTTTAGTATGCCATTACTTACTTTCTTTTGTTTAATAGAAAAAAAAGCTTTTTCCACACAATCATTTCAATTTTCTCGCTTGCTTTCATCGATGTACTCGATGGGGAACTAGTTTCTTCTCATAACACTGTTCATTGACCTTACCACTCCGTCTCTCAAGTACCGGACAAAATATTTCACTCATCATGCATCTGATGCTTTTCCTTACCCTCGATATAAAGAGGACAAAACTTACTTTCTTTGTGAAACGCTAGATTGCTATGATCAACCTCGACTAATGACCAGGAAAAAACCCTATTCTATTCATGTTTCCTTTAATCTTTCTCTTTATTTCGACTTATTGGAATCTAGAAAGTCTTATTTAAGCCACGATTCGCCCAAATTTTCTGGGAAGCTGGTTACTTTTACACCAAAGCAAACTTTGTTTCATTCCTGATACTTTCGATCCTTCTGCTAACTCATTATGACTAAACTATACAAAAAATGATGATACAGATCAAGCCTTTCGCATCTCCAACTCAATGTGAATTCCTGAATTAGAGAAACCCTTGTTTTTCGCATTATGCTTTCGATAGTTGTGCTCACTGTGACTTCCTCAATTAGAAAACATCTTGTTTTACTCATAATACTTTCGATTCGACTCATTAATTTGTTTTTTTTTCTCAAATAGAGAAAAAATTATTTTACCCTTGACTCCTTTATTTTTTCCACTAAACGGCTGTTTGTAAAGTGTAGAAAACTTCCTCGAGGAACGATTCTCTCCATCGTCCTGTTCATGCTGTTTTTCTACGCTGCACAAACCTTGTTTCATCAATGTTTTTTTATCTTTCTGAGCACTCTCTGTTTCTCAAAAACAGGAGACTTTGTTTTAGCTATACTTTTATTCATTTACCTACTCACTCATAGTCTCTTAACGACGGAAAAACTCGTGTAGCTCAAGGCGTTGTTTATAGTACTGCTCAATGTTACGTTCTCAATTGAAGAAAACATTGTTTTATTGATAATGATTTCATCCCTTCTGCATGCTGTCAAAAAATTCTTAGACGCACAATGATATACATCCCTCTACTTGCTATTGCTTTTCCAACTGAAAAAAATTTTCTTACCTTTGAATCTTCTGATCTTTCAAATAACTCATCGTTTCCATATTATAGAAAACCTTTTCGTGACGCCATTAGAGTTCGTCATATTCGCTCATTGTTTGTAAACTGCATAAAACCTTGCCTGACATGTGATGTTTTGAGTCCCAGTTCTCAATGGTCGTTTCTGAATTGTAGAATAAGTTTTTGTAGGCCGAATGCATTTGATCCTACTACTCACTAGCCGTTTCTAACATGTAGAAAGAACTTGTTTTACCAATGATTGTTTGATACTTCTGCTCGCTCTTCGTTTCTAAACTACAGAATGAACTTGCTTTCCTTACAATACTCTCGTTAGTACTACTCACTGTGACATTCTCAATTAGAAAATACTTGCTTTACGGATAATGTTTTGGATCCTTCTGGTCACTCGTCGCTTTTAGATCAGAGAAGAACCTGCTAGCACCATGATGTTGTATAATTCTATGCTCACAATAATCTTCAGAATTAGAGAAAAGATTATTTTACCGACGACTCGTTTTATCTCTCCGCTAACTCGTCATTTTTACGCCACACAAAAATTTCGTATTAAAAATAGTTTTGTGATCTGGCTCCTCAATCTTTTTTTTTTAAATAATTATAAATTCGTTTTAAGCATAACTATCTCGATCCTTCTTCTCTCTCATCATTTCTAAACTGAACAATAACTTGTTTCACTCATGATTATCGTACTTGTTCTCATAACTGACACATTCTCAATTAGGAGTAATCTTGTTTTACTGATAATTGTTTCCATTGTTCGGCTTAGTGGGACCTCCTCAATTAGAATAAACTGCCTTTACTACTGATTATGTCTTTCATTGTGATCACTAGTTACTTCAAAACAGGAGAAAGCCTTTTTGGGAGTACAATGCTATATATTCTTCCACTCACTGATACTTTTCAACTGGAGAAAAAACCTCTTACTCTGAATTGATTGATTCATTTGCTAACTTATTGTTTCCAAACTTTAAGAAACCTTCTTTTAATCACACCAAGATATATCCTACTATCTACTCAGCGTCTGTAAACTGCAGAAACAATAGTTTGTCTCGTGATACTTTCGATCATGCATGTCATTGGTCTTTTTCAGACTGTAGAATAGCTTCGTTTTTAATCACAATGTTTTTGTTGCTACTAATCACTCGTCGTTTTTACACAGTAGAGAGAACTTGCTTTATCAACGATTTTTTTCATTTTTATCCTCATTCGTCATTTTAAAGCTGCAGAAAAGTTTC